CGAGTGGTGGGTTTTGGACTGATCTTGTTGATCGTGTACATACCCGCTACGAACGGACTAAATAATGAAAACGTTGCTGGCAGCGGAATCCAATACAGCTGGGAGACTTGGCTGGATGACAGAGTCCCGGACAGAGAAGTGGAGCCGGCCGGCTTCACCCTGGTCGGAGCGGACCTCGATCTGACAGTCACAGGGAAAATCGATCCTGGTAAGAGAGCGACTCTGTACCCCCGAGCCCCGACATTGAACTGCTTTCTGTGTCACTGTGACCTTACTATCTGCCCCGTGAGTTCCCCCAATTGTTTGTTACCGTTGTGTACTGTTGATAATCACAAGTTTACTGGAGAACTGAGACCAAGTAGAGACTTTGGACAGGGTGGATATGCACAAGATTTTAGTCAGACCAAGCTATAACATTATATATTTACTACGACAGTACATTCAACCAAAAGCTAATATAACAAACAGTGGCGGCTCCTGAAAAAATTCTCAGGAGGGGCAATTTTTCTGATGATTTAGGTGACCTACACACATTTTAAAAAAGATATGTCCAGCAACAACATGAAGACAGGGGCAGCATATAAGTCAATACCAGAAGCATTTATTGACTGATCTGGGGAGATGGATTCCAGTTTCTGTGACAGATTATAAATAATCTCTGATGCCTTTGTTATATTAGCTTTTGGTTGAATGTACTGTCGTAGTAAATATATAATGTTATAGCTTGGTCTGACTAAAATCTTGTGCATGACCCATTTTGTGTTGGGCGTTTGTTTTCAATCAATGCTGTTCCTATCCTATAACAATGGACAAAAGAGTCCTATCTTGTCAGCCTTGTCAGCAGGTGGCCAAGGACAACACCCACGCCATAGGTCTCTCAGTTCTTCCAACTCACGAGTTCTTGCTCTGAGGACACACACACACACACACACACACACACACACATCATCACTGATAACACACACACACACACACATCATCACTGTTAAACACACACACACACACACATCATCACTGTTAAACACACACACACACACACACACAAAAATCCCCTCTCTTTAGGCTGAACATTTGAAGACAGAGAACCCGACTCAGAGCCAATGCAACAGTGGAGGGGACCTCGCCCAACTCATCAGGACCAATCAGAAGATCAGAACTACTAGATTCAACCTACATCATTTATTGTATAAAATGTCAGCACACAATGTTTTCGGGGCTCTCTTCAGATAGCTCCCTAAGAGTTTGACGAACGAGTCTGTGCACGCGATTCCAGATATCTTTACCTCTGAATAAACTGCCTTTATTATACCATATCCACCCTGTCCAAAGTCTCTACTTGGTCTCAGTTCTCCAGTAAACTTGTGATTATCAACAGTACACAACGGTAACAAACAATTGGGGGAACTCACGGGGCAGATAGTAAGGTCACAGTGACACAGAAAGCAGTTCAATGTCGGGGCTCGGGGGTACAGAGTCGCTCTCTTACCAGGATCGATTTTCCCTGTGACTGTCAGATCGAGGTCCGCTCCGACCAGGGTGAAGCCGGCCGGCTCCACTTCTCTGTCCGGGACTCTGTCATCCAGCCAAGTCTCCCAGCTGTATTGGATTCCGCTGCCAGCAACGTTTTCATTATTTAGTCCGTTCGTAGCGGGTATGTACACGATCAACAAGATCAGTCCAAAACCCACCACTCGAAATCCATGGTTGGCAGAATGTTTGTAAACTAAGTGTACAAATTAAAAACATAAAATAACGCCACTAAGTGTACAAATTAAAAACATAAAATAACGCCACACTGCAGGTCGCAAAGAGACGCTGCTAGCCGCTATTTGCTTAGTTACGTTCATGGTTACGTCACGTATGACGAAAGCGCGTAAGTGCAAGCCCACAGACACCCATAGAGAATGTATTGAAAGCTTTGAAATTTGAAAAAAAAATAGATTTTACATGACAGGCTATGAGAGACTTCTGGGCGATTTTCAACCTGACTGAAATCGCCCAAAAACGGGCGGGGCCATTTGAAGCACGACTTTAGCCTGATTTGACATTTAGTGGCTGGCAGATCAGACGTGAACACTGATAACTGCTGTTGCCGTGATATAATTGATTAGAAAAAAAATCCCTTCCTTTTCCCGTTTGGCAGTGCGTCGCCCATATCGCCCTATTGAACAGGCCGTCCCTGGAGCTAGCAATACTACCGTCTGGGCAGGTAGGAAGGCTAGTATGGTTAGCTGGCTTTGTAGCTAGCTAGCCAGGTTAGGGCTAATAGACTAGCTAGTTAGCACAATGCTAGCTGGAGAAAGTGTGTGCTTTCTTTGTCTCTCGACGAACAAAGCGTGCCTTTCGACAGACAAACTGTGAAGCTAGGACGGTCAGTATAGTCAACACGGCACGAGGGGACGTGGTTTGAGCTAAATGAGAGAGGAGAGATAGCAATTCTACTTTTCCAGGTAGAAAAGCTAGTTTGCGGCCAGCTAGCCAAGTCTCAGTAGCTAGCCTTGTGACTCTAGCTCCCACCGGAGACTTTGTGAGCAGAAAAAGCAAAACACAAAGGACAAAGCAAAAACATTCCTTTCGGTCAGTTGGTCAACACAAAGGACGAGAGAGGTCTTGCGTTCAGCAGTGTTAACCCTGTGGTTCACCTGAGAACAGGTAGCCCTTTCCTGCAGTCAAATGACCTAGTGGCCTCGCGTGGAATGTTATTCATATTTTTTATAATTTCATAATTAATACACATTATTATTATTTTTAAACACAGAAAATCTGGTGTTTCTATGTCAAACAGTTGTGTTATAATTCAGTCTTCTGTGATGTATATAAAGTGTAATATTGGGATGCAAACTCAAAATGTAATACATTTCAACTCTATATCTGACATGGTACAAGTGTCTTCTTTTTTAAAAGCCCATAACCATGTGTGTGTGGTTTATACTTTTGTTTCAAAGTAGATTTGTTTAAGACTACCAAGAAACACTCTGTGACCCTGATTTATCGCACTGCAGTAAAAGGTTATTAAGTAGGAAGACCGGGATTAAATCGTGATGAGGAGAGCTTCAAAAGAGTTGTGGTCTTCACAAGGAAGAGAGGGGAGAATGACCAGAGGACAGGCGAGTGGCGCCTTATAAAGAGGGGAGGGGCTCACCTCATTTGCAACTCAACCTGTTGTCTCCGACAGACACTGTGTGATTGGTTCTTCCCCGAGTAGTGATTCCCAGAGTGAATCCCAATGTGATACATCGAAATTAGTATTTGAAAGAGAACTGTAATAGTGTATTAGATCATTAGATTGATAAGCGTTACATGGACCCTATTTGAAGTAAACATTAAAAGTAGGGGAGACCAGGGCAAAGTAACACTTTCAGTCTTTTGCTTGTTCATGAAAAGATCATTTGAGTTAGATTAATACTATTTTTATACAAACAACATACATATGTCAGGTACCATTACACACTGTAACTATGTTTCTAGGACATACCAGTCGTTTAACGCCGTAGGCGGGATTAATTGTAACAGGCTGTGGGGTTAAATGTAACAGTGTCTTCAATGGTAAAAATGAGGGGTAATTGAAAAAATGTATGATTTGAAACTGATATCTGGATGAAAATACACTAAATTGACAAAAAATATTTTCATTTAATGTTTTAGGCATGTCATATTGACCAAAAACTAAGTACCCAAAAATATACTTTTAGCATTTGAAAGTATGACCTTAGTTGTACTGGCAAACTTGATGTAAAGAAGTGACATTTTATATCATTATGTGAATGTGATTAAATACCATACCATATAACATACCATGGACTTTTAGGTAAGGGGTTAATTGTAACAAATGTTACAATAATTATTGTCATCAACTATACCAATCAAAAGACCACTTCTTACTGATATAAATTATATATGATTAGATACATGTGGAATGTCCCACATGTCAATAAAACAAAAAAGAATGTATAGATTTATGCAAAAATTCCTAGGCATGTATAGACACTAACCAAGCGTTAGCACATTGAATAACAGCTTTCTAGGTGGTTTTTAATTTGAGTTATTTAGTTTTTACATTAGTGCCCCATGTTACTTTGTGCCCCGGTCTCCACTGTAGGCCTAGGCTATATGATTATCACTGATCTCCCCAATAGGCCTAGGCTGTATGATTATCTTGCTGCAATATAAATGCAATTGTTACATTGTAATAACATTGTAATAAGACTGCAACATTGTAGCAGCTTCAAGTCAGGAAACCATGTAGCAGGCCTAACCGAACGTTCAACAACAGTCGTTGTAACCACGACCACTATGTCTTCTGAAACGCTGATAAAATGGCATCTCCGGAAACACTGATAAAATGTCATAGGCAAACGGATATGGTAAAAAAAACAAATAAATGGCATGGTAAAAATGGTAGTTGCACAAACATATCAATTTATTAATGTTGTGCTTTGGAATATTCTGTAGCCTGAAGAAGTTAGGCTAAATGCATAGGCTACACTCTGCACAGACATAGGCCTACTGCTTCGACTTTAGCTGTGCATAGGTCTAGACCTAGGCTACTTGTTGTTTTCATTTCTCCCTTTTCACCGGCCGGTCGGCAAAATGGAGCGACACACCCCCACAATCTTCGCACACATTAAGTGAGTGACACAGTCCAAACTACCCATTGGCTTCTGGCTTGCGATGGCCGCCGACCAATAGCAGTGAATTGAAGGCGGTACCCTGTGAATCTCGCCTGGCTGCACGAGCAGGGGAGTGGGGGCGTGGCATTTTTTGGAGGAAAAAAAGCTAAACAATCTTTAATCTTTCCAACTGACTGTGTCGGCTTTTTTGAGTTGTCTCGGCTGGTGGAGAAGTCCAAACCTTAGAATAGCGGTAACACACGGGGATCCACTCAAGACAGTCCTGAATGTATTTTACTCTAGATTTCTGGACTAAAAGGTATAGAAAGCGGGTAATCTTTCTTTAGTCACCACTCCGGTCCTACGATGAATTCGAAACGTCTGCTTGACATGTCTCCGGCTGAAATACTGGTCGGGGGCGCTTCGAAACAAGCCGGTATTGACCAGCATGCAGAGGGTTCCAAGGGAAGAGAAATGAGTGTCACCGCCACTGACAGCGGTGTCATTCTGGCGTGCAAGAGCGGGCCCGCAACAGGAGCAGTTTTCTACACATTCGTGCTAGACGATGGCTCTTTGAGAGAATGTACAAACCAGGACATCATCCTCAATGGGAATGACCTGTCGTCAGGGAGAGAAAAATACCCGCACCTGAATATAGTAGGTGCTATTACACTGTTATATCCATTGCATGCTGGACTTTATATTTGTTTATTTGCAGCGAGTTGGTTAGATTAAAAAATAGGTGTAATATGTTATTCATCTCCCCCCTATTCACTTTTGTATCAATCGAGTTTTCACATGAGCAACATTTTTGCCTAAAAGCCTACTGTTGCATGCACTGGGGAAACAAACAACATAACCAGCCGCTCTGACTTTTCTGATGATATGAATCGGTTACTTTTTAAAGTGAAAATATAGGTCAGGCAGGCTTTGCGACAAACCCAAGTTAATTATAGCCTAAATGCAACTAGTATGTATGACGAATATAATCTGTTAAAATGGCGGCTCATTGCATGTTCAAAGTTTAAAGGAAAAAGGGCTGTGACTCCAAACTAAATCCCCCTCCCCCATAGCGACCGGTTTGCCTGCCAGAATTTCAGCAGGGAGGTATCGAGAGCAATGATTCAGAAATACACTAGATGACTTATTGGGGGCGCTGTGTTGAATCCACCGTGCCTCCATCTTAGCACTCCCCAACATTTCAGTCGTTTAGCAGATGCTCTTATCCAGAGTGCATACATTTTCATACCCCACTATTGTAACAAATATTTTGGAAGATATAGAATTGCATTTATTAATGTCTACATTAGTTTTTGCCATATTTATTCTTTTACAGAAACCTTAATGTGTATATAAAAAAATATATAAAAACATTTTCCTTAAAGTATCATTTTTAGATCTTACGAATGTTACTGTCCCCTCTATAACCCCCGCCCGAAAATACCTCTACATTTTCTTCTTGAAACGTTTAATTGCAATAATGTAGAATGCCATTCATTCCTATGGAGGACTGCTCCTACTGGGGAATGCCAATATTGCCGACCCTTCAAAGCCTCTTAATGGCCAATACATATCATTAGCAATCCAGGGTTTATATACATCATTGACCAAGACCCTGCTTTGAGGGGAAGAAAAACAAGTGTTGCTTAAGAAAAAATAAATACAAAATCTATGCATGTCAGATATGTTGTATTGTCCCAAGACATTCACACACACAAATATAGTTTAAATTAGAGTGGACAATGTCCTACCAGTGAATGTCTAGTTTATGTTATATGCCTAAATATTTGGTTTAGTTTCCCTGGCACTGTTTCCACATGCTAACATGTTAGTGTTTGTGGCACAAATCCCATTCAAGTCATGGGACTGATATTATAATTTTTCTTGTTACTTTTTTGAGCTTCACAATCAATTTGAGATACTTTTAGATGATTTGGACATGATTAGGTCAGCCAAATTACCGCGGTCACTGTTATAATCATTTCATATAAGCATTTCACTGTAGTGTTTTACACATGCTGTATCCTGTGCATCATAGGTGAAATTGCCACGGGGGATGGGGGGACATGTCCCTCCCAATATTCCGTACAGGTCGATTCTTCCCCCCCAATAGGCTAATATCTTTCAAATCGAAAAAATATACAGTACCAGTCAAAAGTTTGGACACACCTACTCATTCAAGGGTTTTTCTTTATTTTTACTATTTTCTACATTGTAGCATAATAGTGAAGACATCAAAACTATGAAATAACACATGGAATCATGTAGTAACCCAAAAAGTGTTAAACAAATCAAAATATATTTTAGATTCTTCAAAGTAGCGACCCTTTGCATTGATGACAGCTTTGCACAGTCTTGGCATTATCCATAATAATCTCATCATAGAGACTAGCCTACCAGCACAGCTTCTCGCACTGTATCTGCGAGCTGTTGGTTAGAGTGCACGTGCCAAGACCAGAGTAGGCACATTTTCTATTTAACGCAACAGTTTTTGTGACAAAACTATTGGTAGAGTTGAAAATGTGATGGAAACGCATTGAACTTGAAATTTTTATTCGGTACATGAAAACTTAAGTGAGTACATTTTTATCCCCAAACAAGTCAGTTGTGTGGAAACACATCACTAGTGGGAAGATGTGCACATTGTCTTTATGCAGATTTTTGAATATTCGCATGAAAATCTGTCGCCAATTGGATGGAAACCTAGTTAATATGAGTGAAATAGTTCCCCTTCCAAAATATTTTAAATAAGTATGTTAAAAAGCAGCTTTTCTGTGTTGGAATAAATGCGGTAAAGAGGTCAGTGGAACAGAGACCATAGGGGATAGAAGAAGGATGCTGGAGTGGCGCACATTCAACAAATCCGATCTAACAAAGTGGATATTCGTAAAATCCGTCATGATTGATGTATTGTAACAGACCCACAATGTGGTTACTAAAGTCTGATTGAAATATATTTGGCTGTTTTCACTGCATAACATTTAGAAGTAGTCCATTTTCAGGTTGTGAAGAAGTGACTGGACTTCTAAATGCTAACTCCCGTTTGTATATCTGGTAACATAGCTAGCATAGAGAAATTGGTGGTGGTATTCAAAGTAAATTTTTACTGTAATCCAGTTGATTGGTGACAATGACATGAACATGTATTGGGGTTGACATCCATACAAGCAATATAAGATTTTTACCTCAACATAGTGTGAAATAGTGCAAATGTTCTCTCATCCTCATGGCAAAATGTGAAGAATAGTATGAGATGAGCTATAAAACAGCACATTTTTCTCTCTACCCCATGGCAAAATGTTTAGAATTCCAGGATATTAGCTTTAAAACTCCCCCCCCCCCAAAATCAGACTCATTACAAAATGTGTAAAATAGCATTATAAAGCTGCAAATTTTTTTTATCTCTGCCCCATGACAAAATGTGTTGAAATGCAGAAAGTTAGTGGTGGTTGGGAGGCCTTCCACTTATACTGTGTTTTTAAAATACCCCTCCATATACCCCTTAAAATACCCCTCAAGAGAGGCATGATAAGTCAAACTGTGTAGAATTGCAGTTAATGCAGAGTACCCCTCGGACAGCCCGTCTACTGTCCCCCCCCCCCCCCCCCCCCCCCCCTAATATCTACACCCCTTGCCGTGCATTTGACTATAAAACTTAAAAAATCATTGAATAAAAAAAAAAAAGTACAATTTAAAAAAATTCTGACCTATACAGTGAGGGAAAAAAGATTTGATCCCCTGCTGATTTTGTACATTTGCCCACTGACAAAGAAATTATTAGTCTATAATTTTAATGGTAGGTTTATTTGAACAGTGAGAGACAGAATAACAACAAAAAGATCCAGAAAAACGCATGTAAAAAATGTTATAAATTGATTAGCATTTTAATGAGGGAAATAAGTATTTGACCCCCTCTCAATTAGAAAGATTTCTGGCTCCCAGGTGTCTTTTATACAGGTAATGAGCTGAGATTAGGAGCACTCTCTTAAAGGGAGTGCTCCTAATCTCAGCTTGTTACCTGTATAAAAGACACCTGTCCACAGAAGCAATCAATCAATCAGATTCCAAACTCTCCACCATGGCCAAGAACAAAGAGCTCTCCAAGGATGTCAGGGACAAGATTGTAGACCTACACAAGGCTGGAATGGGCTACAAGACCATCGCCAAGCAGCTTGGTGAGAAGGTGACAACAGTTGGTGCGATTATTCGCAAATGGAAAAAACACAAAATAACTGTCAATCTCCCTCGGCTTGGGGCTCCATGCAAGATCTCACCTCGTAGAGTTGCAATGATCATGAGAACAGTGAGGAAGCCCAGAACTACACGGGAGGATCTTGTCAATGATCTCAAGGCAGCTGGGACCATAGTCACCAAGAAAACAATTGGTAACACACTGCGCCGTGAAGGACTGAAATCCTGCAGTGCCCGCAAGATCCCCCTGCTCAAGAAAGCACATATACAGGGAAGTCTGAAGTTTGCCAATGAACATCTGAATGATTCATAGGAGAACTGGGTGAAAGTGTTGTGGTCAGATGAGACCAAAATGGAGCTCTTTGGCATCAACTCAACTCGCCGTGTTTGGAGGAGGAGGAATGCTGCCTATGACCCCAAGAACACCATCCCCAACGTCAAACATGGAGGTGGAAACATTATGCTTTGGGGGTGTTTTTCTGCTAAGGGGACAGGACAACTTCACCGCATCAAAGGGACGATGGACGGGGCCATGTACTGTCAAATCTTGGGTGAGAACCTCCTTCCCTCAGCCAGGGCATTGAAAATGGGTTGTGGAAGGGTATTCCAGCATGACAATGACCCAAAACACATGGCCAAGGCAACAAAGGAGTGGCTCAAGAAGAAGCACATTAAGGTCCTGGAGTGGCCTAGCCAGTCTCCAGACCTTAATCCCATAGAAAATCTGTGGAGGGAGCTGAAGGTTCGAGTTGCCAAACGTCAGCCTCAAAACCTTAATGACTTGGAGAAGATCTGCAAAGAGGAGTGGAACAAAATCCCTCCTGAGATGTGTGCAAACCTGGTGGCCAACTACAAGAAACGTCTGACCTCTGTGATTGCCAACAAGGGTTTTGCCACCAAGTACTACGTTATGTTTTGCAGAGGGGTCAAATGCTTATTTCCCTCATTAAAATGCAAATCAATTCATAAAATTTTTGACATGCGTTATTCTGGATTTTTGTTGTTGTTATTCTGTCTCTCACTGTTCAAATAAACCTACCATTAAAATTATAGGCTGATCATGTCTTTGTCAGTGGGCAAACGTACAAAATCAGCAGGGGATCAAATACTTTTTTCCCTCACTGTGTGTGTGTGTATATATATATATATATATACAGTGGGGGAAAAAAGTATTTAGTCAGCCACCAATTGTGCAAGTTCTCCCACTTAAAAAGATGAGAGTCCTGTAATTTTCATCATAGGTACACGTCAACTATGACAGACAAATTGAGGAAAAAAAATCCAGAAAATCACATTGTAGGATTTTTAATGAATTTATTTGCAAATTATGGTGGAAAATAAGTATTTGGTCACCTACAAACAAGCAAGATTTCTGGCTCTCACAGACCTGTAACTTCTTCTTTAAGAGGCTCCTCTGTCCTCCACTCGTTACCTGTATTAATGGCACCTGTTTGAACTTGTTATCAGTATAAAAGACACCTGTCCACAACCTCACAGTCACACTCCAAACTCCACTATGGCCAAGACCAAAGAGCTGTCAAAGGACACCAGAAACAAAATTGTAGACCTGTACCAGGCTGGGAAGACTGAATCTGCAATAGGTAAGCAGCTTGGTTTGAAGAAATCAACTGTGGGAGCAATTATTAGGAAATGGAAGACATACAAGACCACTGATAATCGCCCTCGATCTGGGGCTCCACGCAAGATCTCACCCCGTGGGGTCAAAATGATCACAAGAACGGTGAGCAAAAATCCCAGAACCACACGGGGGGACCTAGTGAATGACCTGCAGAGAGCTGGGACCAAAGTAACAAAGCCTACCATCAGTAACACACTACGCCGCCAGGGACTCAAATCCTGTAGTGCCAGACGTGTCCCCCTGCTTAAGCCAGTACATGTCCAGGCCCGTCTGAAGTTTGCTAGACTGCATTTGGATGATCCAGAAGAGGATTGGGAGAATGTCATATGGTCAGATGAAACCAAAATATAACTTTTTGGTAAAAACTCAACTCGTCGTGTTTGGAGGACAAAGAATGCTGAGTTTCATCCAAAGAACACCATACCTACTGTGAAGCATGGGGGTGGAAACATCATGCTTTGGGGCTGTTTTTCTGCAAAGGGACCAGGACGACTGATCCGTGTAAAGGAAAGAATGAATGGGGCCATGTATAGTGAGATTTTGAGTGAAAACCTCCTTCCATCAGGAAGGGCATTGAAGATGAAACGTGGCTGGGTCTTTCAGCATGACAATGATCCCAAACACACCACCCGGGCAACGAAGGAGTGGCTTCGTAAGAAGCATTTCAAGGTCCTGGAGTGGCCTAGCCAGTCTCCAGAGCTCAACCCCATAGAAAATCTTTGGAGGGAGTTGAAAATCTGTGTTGCCCAGCGTCAGCCCCAAAACATCACTGCTCTAGAAGAGATCTGCATGGAGGAATGGGCCAAAATACCAGCGACAGTGTGTGAAAACCTTGTGAAGACTTACAGAAAACGTTTGACCTGTGTCATTGCCAACAAAGGGTATATAACAAAGTATTGAGAAACTTTTGTTATTGACCAAATACTTATTTTCCACCATAATTTGCAAATAAATTCATAAAAAATCCTACAATGTGATTTTCTGGAAATTTTTTCTCATTTTGTCTGTCATAGTTGACGTGTACCTATGATGAAAATTACAGGCCTCTCTCATCTTTTTAAGTGGGAGAACTTGCACAATTGGTGGCTGACTAAATACTTTTTTCCCCCACTGTATATATATATATATATATATATATAGGGTCAGTACTCACTGAATGTTTATATTGTGAACCTATGTTATGTATTTTTACCCCCTGTTTCAGGAAGTGATGTGACTGAGTACTGCCCCTATATATAGGACCTTCCACCCCCACCTGGGATATTGATGCCTGATTAAGACCTAAGGGTCAAAACTATGTTATTATTAAAATCACCTGGGATAATGAGCAGCAGTGTGCGGCATTTTCCTTTTTATTTTGCATGAATTCACCTACAACTCCAACACCTGCAAAAAGTACCTGGATGTGCGTATGTTCTTCAGCTTTTGTCCATGTTGAAACATTGCCAGGGAAACTAAACCAAAGCATTGATTGCTGTCATACCTTGTCCATAGACTGTTTACAGGGTAAGGAAACCAAAGCATAATTTTGTAATTTGGGTGAACTATCCCTTTAAACCAGGGATCATCAACTAGATTCAGTCGCAGGCCAATTCTTTTCTTGAGCGGATGTTCAGGTGGCCAGAACATTTACATTTACATTTTAGTCATTTAGCAGACGCTCAAACATAATTACAAATAATTTGTAGACTGCAAATTGACCACAAGAAGCCCAAACAGATGTAATATTTTACTAAAACATGGTAATTTCAAATAGGACTGGGTGATATATTGAATTAATTTTAGTTTATATTTTAGCACGATATTCCAAATGCCTGTATCGCAAGAACCCATTGAAGTTACAATTTTAAAGGGTTAAGGTAAGGGTTAAGGTAAGGGTTAAGGTAAGGGTTAAGGTAAGGGTTAAGGTAAAGGTTATGGTTAAGGGTAGGATTTAGGGTAGGGATGTCCCAAGGATTCCGGATAGCACACACCAAGCTCCTACCCCTCCTGCCACTCACAACAACAAAGATGAAAGATCACTTCTTCCTCTCTGACAACAAGCAGTTTCAAATCACGATTTGCATTTGAGGTTTGGTCCAACAGAATCGGTCATACGGACACTGAAACTCATTGAGACATTATTTTACTGTAATAGACGGGAACCTAACTTTTCTAACAATACCCTTTTTATGTCTCAATTCCTCAAATTGCGCGAAGAGCAGACCCTATTCAAACTTGAGTATCAATTAACATTGATTCTGCAAAATGAATGCTCAGTTTCTGTCGCGAGCGGGTACCGCTAGAAGCATTTTAGCCACAGACTGTTATACTAGCTGTGTAGTCTGTGTTTTATAAATGTGCAATGAGCATAAAACACAATAATATAAGGAATTAACAGCTCATTTTCAATCTGAGAAATTAAGGTAGGCCACTTGATTTCAACATCTGAACAAAGTGGACAGGCTAGCATGCTTTTTAACAGTTGGAGACGGTCAGAAGGGTGTGTTCATAACAATTCAACTGTTCTACCTCGTTAGCTAGCAAATAGATCCAAGTTGACTTTAATCATAAAGATTAACTGGCTACTCACTAGCACGTGGGCTTGTGCTTGAGAGATTGTTTATGAGACCTGTGTTCATTTTATATAATGCCTGCTGCAAGACGTTGGTCATTATAGTCCTGTGTAGCTCAGTTGGTAGAGTGTGGCGTTTGCAACGCCAGGGTTGTGGGTTCGATTCCCATGGGGGGCCAGTATGAAAATGTATGCACTCACTAACTGTAAGTCGCTCTGGATAAGAGCGTCTGGTAAATGTAAAAATAAAATAAATAATAAATAATAAAATAAATTATTAGTGAATGCTACAAGACGTTGGTCATTATTAGTGAATGCTACAAGACGTTGGTCATTATTTATTTATTTACTTTTGCTCAGAAAACTTGGGGGGGCAAATAAAATCACCCGCGGTCGCCAGTTGGGGAACCCTAATTTAAACAGTAGGCTATAGATTCTAGTTGTCAGTGCCTCCTAATGGTTGGACAGATTTAGTGAAACTGACACAGCTTCTATTTTTTGGGACATAAAATCACCAACCAACGTCCCTTTCCCAAAAGTGTAGCCAAAATAAAGTGTGGACTATGTAATTAACCTTCTATTATCTATTTTTACTACAAGCCTTGGAAGCAAAAAGCACCAATATAACAGTTCTGAGACTGCAACCATTTCTCTGCTGTGTGTGAATTGTTCTTTATCCTTTAGATGGGTTGTGGTGGCGAGGCAGATGAGAGGAACAGCGGTCTAACTGGGGTCCTTACTAACGGCAGTCCCACTCACTGCCTGATCCTGAACGGGCAGAAGCCGGACAGACACATGCACTCGAAAGCGAGGACCCCGCTGGTGCCCGGTGGTTGCCAGGAAACAAACAGACATCAAGTTCCACCTGAGGAAAGAAACCCCCACCCCTCCTCCCACATACCTGTCCCCCGATGCAGGTAGGGACCACATGGCTATTAACATAGTAGTGTTGTCACGATACCAGAATTCTGACTTCGATACCGATACCAGGTTTAGTATCACAATACTCAATACCATCATGATACTTAATACCAAAACGATACCAAAAATGATACCACAAAAAAAGTCACAAAATGGCACTTGATCCAGACAGATAAACTCAGCTACTACTCTGTTCAATCGTTGGGCATCTTTGAGTTCAATATAATGAACGTTACATTTGAAAACATTTGTAATTGTTTTTGAGACAGCCATGTATGTATGCATTAATTGAATCAATTACCAATCTAACTACAAAACAACATAATGGTAATAATGTATTTGAATGGTACATTATTGATAAACTGGGTAAATCAAGATGTAGCCTAGGTCTATACACAATACAGGTAAATGCTAAGATAACATATTGTATTATTTTATTGTACTTATTAACAACATTTGCAAGGAAGAAGCAATCTCTTCTTTTCGAAAAATGTGCACTGTCTCTAAGAAATGAGACGTAATTTGCTTCATTTGTAAGGCAGAATGTGGCTGTGGAATCTGAGTTTGTGGCTTTGGAATCTAGTGGAAACCAGACGGGAGGCAAAGGTAGACGAAGAAATGAATGAGGTTTTGGTGGCATGGGAGACAAAGTGAATTAATAACGTTTTTGGTGCCAGTCAGCTTTGAAATCAGCATATTTTGTGTTATGGTTTGCATATTATCACAAACAAAGTACCAAAATAGTGAATTCAGCTGTAAGCTAGCAAGGAAAGTTAACCTACAATTAAATCTGGAAGCTACCAGTTTCATCTTGCATTGTAAAAGTGTTCTAGCCTATATTGACGTTGTTTTGTGAACAGTAATGAACAGTTTCAACATTTCTACATGCCGTGTTGCATTATTCAGGTGTTAAAACTTCTGTGCAGCATGAGTGGGGACTGGGGAGCTAATGCAACTCACACAGCTCTAGCAATTAATGAGTAGGTGGAGCAGGTACTTTGCTCTTTGCGCTATAAAGGGACTATGCTGACACAGACTTGATCCTCTCAATCACGTAAGACACATTTGACAGAAGTACCGAACGTAACAAAAATTCTAGGACCGAAATGTACATAATTTTTTGTATCGAAAAGGTACAGAAGTTTCGGTATACCGTGCAACACTATAACATAGTTATTACCAAGTACTACATGGATAACAATATGGTTATTACCTGTGGCATGGTTGCTGCTTCACCCAGAGTTGGGTCAATGCCAGTCCTGGTCCAGATGAAATGGGGCATAGAATGGGGGATAGAATTTCTGAAATTGAAAATAGCTCTAAGAATTGGGTGTTTCCACCTCAAATCCAAACCCAAGTTCTGAATAAACTGGAGTTGAAATGGAATTGACTCTAACCTTGTGGTGGTTCAAACTATCCCGTGGTTTGGGCATAAATGTCGTGGGGGAGGCTTGGTCAGATGACCGCTGTTGGATTATTAGAAAGCATTCCAGTGTTCCAGAATCAGAATAGTTCTGGAAAATTCTCAAGACGTAAAATAAATTTCTCAGAGGGTGGAAGTTTTAGAATAAGGTCAAGATTGCCCAATCATGTGAGTGAGAATGGAAGATATGATGGTCATGTTGCTGTTGACTGATAAACCTAAACAAATACTGCTCTCACTGATAGTGAGACCAATAGCTTATGAACCAATCACTATATTAATCCATGCACAAATCAATGTACATGATATCAATTACTTGTATCACTGCCTTGCTCACCATGGCCAACCACACTAAATGTGGTCTTTACCTTAACATTGAGATCCAAGCAGTTCACTCATTCAATGCTACAAAAAATTACCCATGTTTCACTTTGTTGAGCGTGTGATCTTTCATACTAGAGGATATTGTGTTCATAAAGATTGGTTCCTTGGATCTGAAGCATCTGTCATGGATTGGACATAAAAGGTTATGGAATTATCGACTCCCTCAGACCCCCACCCCCCTTATAAACTGAAAGTCAGTATAATGTCCAGGTGAAATTGACTACTGCGACTTAATCCATGTCTCAGATTCAGATAAAAGGGTTTACTTTAAATTTTTATAATATCTATTTTCTCAGTTTCAACCTGGTATCAGTAAGCCAGGCATGCGCTCTGAGTGGCTAGACAGACCAGTGTGTGTATGTTGATATGTTTTTCTCTCAGTAGTTTGTACTGTTGTGTGTGACTCAGTGGCTAGCAGAGCGAGAGGGGCTCAAGGCTGTTTTCTCTGTTGCTGTGACACACACACACACACACACACACACACACACACACACACACACACACACACACACACACACACACACACACACACACACAGCGGTCCAAACACAGGCAGCAGTCAGAGAGAGAGCTGTGTCTGTCCAGGGACATGACCCGTCAGCGCTCTGATAGATAACACTATTACATAACAGATGAGGTCTGGGAAGGACGCTTTTTAAGAGCCTTTTTATTCAAAATGTTTTATAGATAGGTTGGAGCAGCTGTCTATGTGGGGGAGGGGTGCTCTCTCTCTCTATGTGTGTGTCTTCATAGTAAGTGTAGGGCATTGGCCTGGTTTCTCCTCTTCCACCTCCCCTACCAGCTGTCACACTTGGGTTTTTCTGTTAGGGCAGTGTGTCGAGCACAGTTGTGTAAAAGTGTTCAGTTCAGTTCATGGTTGTATCACTGGGTTACTGTGTCCTGCAAACAAGCCCAAACAAGCCTCTCTGCACAGAGGAAAGGAAGGACTCAGGAGGTGCACACACACGCACACAGACAGACAGACTAACACAGCTGATAAAAATAAGTAAAGAACGTGTGAATGAACAAAAATAAGTCCAGTGGAACGGTTGGGGCAGATCTTTGGCTGGTTCGTTGTGAAATGCTTTGTTTTCTTATCTCTGCTCGTGCAGTTATTGACTCTGATGTAGTTGTTTAAGTGAATGGAAATAGTGTCCCTTGTACTCCTGAGTGGCACAGTGGTCTAAGGCACTGCATCGCAGTGCTAACTGTGCCACTAGAGATCCAGGCTTGAATCCAGGCTCTGTCGCCGCCGGCCGCGACCGGGAGACTCATGGGGTGGTGCACAATTGGCCCAGCGTCGTCCAGGGTAGGGGAGGGAATGGCCGGCAGGGATGTAGCTCAGTTGATAGAGCATGGCGTTTGCAACGCCAGGGTTGTGGGTTCGATTCCCACGGGGGGCCAGTATAAAAAAAAAATGTATTCACTAACTGTAAGTCGCTCTGGATAAGAGCGTCTGCTAAATGACTAAAATGTAAATATGTGAATGTAGTTTATTTATGTCAACGCTGTGACATATTGCCACTAGGGCCGTGACGGTCATGGAATTTTAGATGGCAGTTATTGGTCTTCCAAAATACGCACATTTTCTCCTCTCCTCCACCCCGACTGCGTGTGCTGCTGCTGCAGGAAGGGGGGCATTTCCTAGGCAACCAAAGACTCATTTGCTACAACACCTTGTTTTTTTTCAGCAAGAAGCAACAAAGTTTCATCATGTTGTGAAGAGTCCATGTTACCATGGAAATGGACTCAACCGCACTAATGCTCGGCCATCCCATCTTAAATCAGTTGTTCGTTCTACAAAAAAATAATACAAATAATAATAGTAAAACAACGGTTATGACGGTTATTTATTTTCATGACAGTTTATCCATAATCGTCGGTGGTAATCAGAAGCATGGTGGTTATGGAGGCAGGATGAAGCACATGTTACACACAAAGTTGTTACTTTCGCCACTAGGGGATAGTCAGACAATTTCCGGGGGTCTATTTAGCAAGCTTGCCCTCCCGAAGTTGTTGACTTGTGCTAGAATCTTTTTTTTTACATTTTACAGCGTAACCCTATTATTAGCCATGATTAGGGCCTTGGCTCTTCCCTGACCTTGTGACCTGACTAGGGGGAAAAAAACGACCCAGCCCTGAGAGAGAGAGAGACAGACCAATGATCCCTCTAAGCTGTGTGCGTGCAGTTCCTGGTGCAGTAACATACAGAAAGATTGCCAGCCCACGCAGAGACACACAAGATTGAACTTCACTAAAATGTTTCCTTGTGTGATGCGTGATTTGAAGGAGTCAGGCGCAGGAGGGTAAATCACAGTACACAGAGTTTATTCTGTAATCCAGCGTAACCAGTCTAGTGCGCAAAACAGGCGCACTGGAACAAACATGCACACGGGGAAAATACCCCAGCAAAACAAAATACTGAGCTCAACCGAGCTACTAATCCTCACAATGAACAATCACCCACAAGGACAAGGGTGGCAGAGGGGACACTTAAACACGTACTAATGAGGGGAATATGAACCAGGTGTGTGTAATTGACAAGACAAGACAAATGGAATGATGAGATATGGAGCGGCAGTGGCTAGAAGGCCAGTGACGACGAACGCCGAAGCCTGCCCGAACAAGGAGGGGAGGCAGCTTCGGAGGAAGTCGTGACACCTTGCTTTAAACACAGAAACATTTCTCTCTACTGTGGAAATTGGCATTAATCCCTTTCAAAGCAACAAACCAAACCAAATCCAACTTCAAGACGGAGTTGGTGATTTTGTTGTAGGCTGGGGTGAAAGTAGATTTAATTTCATACCGTTACGGGACACCCAAGTGCGAGCACGCATTTTTTTTTATACTTAAAAAATTGACAAACAGATCAATAAAAACAATGTTGTCTAATCCATATAATCGGCCTACGAAAAGGGGAGACACAAATACAATATGACGTCCTGTCACGTTCGTCTAATGACGGGTCAGACCAAGGCGCAGCGTGATATACGTACATGTTTATTTACACTGAATAAACACACGACTAAACAACAAACAAACGTGAAGTCCTAAGGTTGTACATACAACGATCCTTACCCGGAACAAGATCCCACAACCC